AACCCCCCTGCATCTGAACGAGCTAACGTGGACGTCTCTTTTTCTCGAGTCAGTTCAGCTCAGTCGAAACTCTCCTTCCTCCGCGCTCGCTGAAGTAAGGCCGAAGACCGGCCGGCATTGTTCCTCGATTTTGTTCAGACGTTGGCGGTATTCATTCCTTCGATCTGTACGTCGTACTCTCATGCACGATGAATATCTATCTCGTCACGATCCGCATTGTGCGCAATGCGAGTCGTTTATCTTGAGAGGATATAGGAATTTAGATGATAGAGAGAATATATAAAGGGACTCTATAAAAGAATCTGTTATTCTATTAATCGGATAAAAATTCAATTCTTTAATATTTAATATTTCATATATGTCTGTAAAATGTAAGTGTTCTATTCGTGATCTAATATTTTCGTGAAGAAAAGATCGATTTCAAACTGATCGGATTGTCATTAAGATTCGATCTCATAACAATAATCTTTAAGGGGATGCTGGAGTGTCCTGTTTTACCATTAATTTTTAAAGACTCTTTTCTCTTAATTGTGTTTATGAATTGAAAAGTCCATCTCCACAATTAAAGTATCGACGACAACACAGGCTGCCAGCTACAATTTAATTGCGAAAAATGAAAGAAAATTAAAAATTGTAGTTTTGGCACTGGCTCCTGCAGTCAACTCGTCACAATATGTGTTGCATATAAGAGTTTCAGATTTTACCCGTTTAAAATAAGTAGCCAGCAACCTACAGAAAACCTTGAAGAACAATCCTATGCTTTTAGAAACGATGTAGGGGCTTTGGTACAAAAGAAAAGAGTCGCCAAAAATTTCGCTCGTATACTACGAATAAAATTGACGTGAAGCCATGAAACCGAGTAGTATTTTAATTAATCTCTTTCTAAGAGATGGTGTTGCAATACGTCAGATAAGGACAGATGAATGCGTTTGAGCGAGACACAACGATATATAATAATAATATATATAATAAGTATAAGAAATGAATGAAAGATGTCACTATTATCGAATTTGGAATGTAAAAAAGTCTGTACTTAATGTATGAATTTACTTCGACCGTCACTCCAGCATCCCTTTAACACGAGGAAAAATATTTTTCGGGCATTCGTGAAATATTCCATTGAGAACTGGAGATTTATTTGTTGAAATTGTTTTCCAGATGGAAACCGAGGTCCGGACGCTCAAACAGGAACTGGCGCGAACTCAGGACGCCCTGAAGACCGCCACGAAAAAATGCCGAGAGCTGGTGAAGGAGCTGGACCACCGTACCGCCGATCATGAGTCTGAGAAGATTTTGCGAGATCAACAGCTCTCGAGGATACTGCGGGCACTGCTGTTCCTGGAAGCGCGCCTTAAGCAGGAACAGAAGTCTATCAGGCAGATGCTCTGCGAAAAGGACAATGTTATCAGAAACCAGCAATTGGAGATCGCGATGCTCAGGCGGTATACAAAAAACTATATAAAGAGCAAGCGCGATCGAACCACACCGGCCGTCGATGTCGAGGTCAACACTAATATCGATAAGAATCTGCAGAAGGACTTTGGCAATTTGCAAGTAATTTGAGAAAACCATGTAAAATAATTAGCATATAAGCCTATCTACGATCAGCAGCTTCACGGAAAAAACGATTTTGTTGAAGCATCTAAAAATTTAATTATATACAGATCTAAAAATAACGTTGTTGTACCAGCAAAATAATTATGTAGAAATCTCAAGTACGATAGCAATGTTGCAAAAAGTTTTGATATTCTAGCAACCAGTTTTAAGCGTCTTATAATTATTTCGATGGTCCAATAAAATTATTTTCAGATCTAGCTAAATTTTTAGATATTTCAACAAATTCATCCTTTCCGTGTTTTAATTTATAAAAGAAATTTATAAAAAAGGAGAAGATAATATAGGAGTGAATTCTATACTTTCCACGTTCTGTATTTTCTAAATTTAAACTTATTCGATTAATCTCTTTCAGAGAGAAACGCTGCAGGAGAGCGGTATTGGCAAAGAGATCGCAAGTCTAAAGTGCGAGATAATCACACGGCTGAACCCGGTATCGTCTAGTATTCTGGACGAACTGGACCGGAACAGCGTGAGGAAAACGAATAGTTTCGCCGGTAGCGATATCTCAAAGGCCAGTCTGACCAGCAGCGAGAACACGGACGCATCCATCGTCACGACGACGACGGAGGGCAGCCCTTCGTTGCTCAGCACGGAAGGCTTTTGCGAGGGTGAGAGTACGGATGATGTGTCACCTGGCTCAACCTTGAACAAATGCTCGAGCAGGTGCACGCCGACGACGGTGACTGACAGCGAAAACGAGACGACGATGATTCTAGATGAAAACGAGGACGATCTAACAGAAAAGGGTGGAACAACGATGGTGTCGATGAAAAAAAGGACAAAAGGTCAGAAGACGTCGTCGAAAAGTTCCAACGTGATTGAAATGGTGGGTATCGCGAGAACGGAGAGCAAGGACGACGGGATGGACTGTAACTTTGTGTCAGAGGATGAAGAACAGACTAACACCCTGATAAGCAGTCAAGAGAGAGAAACAGAAGAACCAATTTACATTAACGCCTGCAACGAGGTGAACGAGAAAAATCTTCAGCGGACGGAGCAATTGAGGACAAAAGACGATTATAGCAATAATAACAATATGTACGTTACAAGTGATTCTTTTCTCCACCAAAATTTTCTCATTATTATTTAATTTTATTTTTCTCTTCCATTACATTCTTTTATTCCTTAAAAACGGTCCTTTCAATTTCTTTTTCGCAGCGAGGTAAAGATCGAGACGCCTGAATTGACGGTGGAGGACACCAGTGGAAATTGGTATAGTGATCCGGATGAAGATCGACTAAACGACGATGTATTCAGACACAGCACCTACCGGCCAAATAGTAATCATAACTCTGTATTGGAGTGCGTGAATCAGATCCTGCTGCAGGATATGGAAGAGGAGGAGAACTTGGTGCTCTCGGTGCCACGCAGGTTTAAACACCGTGGCAGAATCGTACGTTTTCAGCCAGCCAGGTTGTCCGATATCGAGTCGGTGGGTTCCGAGATAGAAAGGAAAAATTCCGAGGAGTCCGTCATGGATAACAAGGATTCATCAAGGGAGGAAGAGACCGCGGAGAACGATGCGAATGTATCCGAAGACGAGTTTGGCATGAGGATCATCCAAAAGGATCCAGATGATGATTCCAAGGAGTCCAAGGCGATCCCACTAGTCATCATTGAGCCCAAAGTCGATGTCGAAGAGACGAGAAAGATTCCAACGAAATCTCAGCAGAGTAGTCCTCCTTTAAAAATGGAGAGAATCGAGGAGAAGACCTGCCTGCAGATGTCTGCAAGAGGATTAACTATCGCCAAGAATCTGGATTACGAAGATATAGAGTCGTTACCGGAGATAACGACATTGCCGACGCCGCCCAGAACGCCACCGGCGTTGCCGCCGAAGCCACAGTTTCGCAACAACACACTAATCTTAAAGAAAATTCCTAGTCCATCGTTCCTGATTGATGAAAAAAGGCAGCAGGACCCGGGAGGCGCAGATCCTACAAAAAGAGGCATTCTGGGACTGATATCCTCTTCGTCGTCAAAGGCGGCAAGGAATTTGAATATGGACGAAATGAAAAGTTCGGCTAGAAGCTCGGCGAGAGAAACGAAAGACGGTGGATTCTGGAAGAATAGATTCAACCACGTGCGCTCGTCTTTCCAGGTAAGACAAAAGGAGGATCAAGCAAAGAGCGCGGCCAGAGTGACGAACATCGTTCGGCATTTCGAAGAGTTCAAGATCGGCGACCCCGAGGAACAGACAAAGGATAGAAATCGTCCAAAGGACCGTCATATCGAGCTTGAACATGTAAGATCTTTTATGAAAATGTATTAAATGTTTTGAGAAAACTATATAATTCTATAAAAAAAAAAACGATTTTTTCTTCCTTTGCAGGAATTTGATATCCGACAGAACTTTGAGGAGTTCAATCTAGACGAGTGCGATCTATCGGACGATCCCGATCGGCCTGAAGGTGACGGATCCGAGAGACTTGGTCACGTGGGATTCAACAACGCTGGTCAGAACGAGAACAGCATTGCCAAAGATAACAACAATGTTCTTGCTATCGGCAACGGTATCGGTAATAGTAATGGCAACGGTGAAATCGGTAGCAGCGGATATGATCACTTCCTGGAGGCGACCGGTCTCAGCAACAAATCGATTCTCACACCCTCAAGATTGCTGAGCAATCACAAGAGCATGCTGAAGCCGAAGGACGTAAAGTACAAGAGCAGGATCAAGGCTACAGCGGTACTGGAGAGGCACGGAATACAGACGACTGTAGCCGGCAATACGACGCACGTCAGGCACTGGACTGGACCATTCGTCTGACGATTGGCCAATTTTTTGCCGGCCAAAAATATTTTTCGCTCCGCCGTGTCGGCCGATAACTCGCCGATAAAGGCGAATTACAAAAGATTTTGATGTTTTAATTCGCTGACGATTAATTAAATTAAAACATTTTTTAATCATTGTATTCATACACAGCGAATGACTCTCACTTTTAAAGTGCAAATGGAATTTTATTCAGTATTGACCGAGAAACAAGGAATTAATGATGAACAGAAAAAAAACAACCTTGTTTCTTTAGTTATGTTACAATGCTAATGTGTGAGTAATTAACATATATATTATATACACATAAATTACGTTATTTTTCATATGCTATAAGATACAAGAGTCGTTAGATTTCGAAGTTGCACTTTCAGTGATTAATTTATTTAATCCCTTCTCGGAAAGATTGTTTATAAAATGTTGATCTAACTATTCCTGCTGTGAAATTATTTATTAGTCTTTATATGATATGTATGTAAAAAAATGTAACTCGTCTCGACTTTCGGTATATTCTAATTTATAAAACGTTATCGAAAGAACTCTATTATCTTTCATTACCTTAACTTTGATGAATAATACACATTGGTAGTTCTCAACCATCAATCTTTTATTAAATTATTGTTTAACATACAAGTTTCTATCTTAAATTACATTCACGTACACGTGTGCAATCGAACGGAAATTTATTTAATGTATGAATTTATAAATAGAACAGAGAACTCGAATAGAAGATTAGGAGTGAACGTTGTGTTCCGTCAATATTAAAATTAGGTTTTTTTCAGTACGTTCTATACACAACCGTATATACTTTCAAACAGAATTACACATGATAGAGTATATATAGAAAAAAAAATTTTTAATAATACTTCATTGCAGGTAAAGAAAGAAAAGCAGCACTTTGAAAGAAAATTATATAATAAACATTCAAATCTCTAAGTAAAAAATATATTTAAAAAAAGGACAGAAGGAACAACAAAATTAAATGACTTTTTATGGCATGCAATCTCACCACGCATTTAAATTATCGCGTTAACCACTAAATGTGCGGCGAGAATGTGATGCTAGTCTCAACAGTATTATGCGTTTGTTCGCGTGTTTAGAAGCGTAGATATGCGATATTAAGATGCGCAGAAAATCTCGCATTATGATACATTATGTGTACACATATTTTACATATATAATCTCTACTCTCTATCAAAAAATAACGCAAGTCTATAAAAATATGACAACGTTATCACCAGTATCAAAATGTAAATATGGGGCGTGGAAGAAGAACCGCGTACATTGATAAGTTTTTTATCTTATTCCTTCTTAAACATTACACAATCCCCATTTTAAGCGTCATGCAGGCTTCATTCTCTCGCGGGTTAGTACAAATCATTCGTTCAGGCACTCCATTTACGCTTGTTGGTTAGCATTATATCGGATACGAACGTGTACAAGTACTGCGGAAAAACGCTCGAGAATTCGAATTAGTTTTGGCAAGTTGTCATCTTTCAAGTTTCTCTTTCCGCACGAAAGTCGTAGAAGAACTGCAACAAAACATCATATCAGTTATTTGTCTCAAATATCAGTTATTTTTAAAAATTGAAAAATATACACGTACCTCTCTATCCAAGTCCTTCTGTGTCCATACTTTGATAACAGGAAGTTTGTTCTATCGAGAAAAAAAGATATCATTAAGTTGTAAAAATAAATGTCTTAATTGCACTTTAATTTTTGTACAAGTTTTAAATTATTATACTCACACTGGCAGAATTACGATTAGTAATAAGACGAGGATTAAGCGCGAACGGAACTCCGTCGAGATCGGACGATCCCGGAAGTGTACCGTAAATGGGCGTTGATGTGACGGTGGATGTCGTGGACATAGGCGGTTGTGGGGCGGGCCTCGTTGGCCTGATCCTCGCGTTAGGACTTAAGACCTCATAATCTCGATCGCCGAGTTCGTCATCCTTGTTAGCGGTGCTGCCGACTTGCGGATAAAGCCCATTGGCCGGTGGTTTTGGTGAGAACTTTGGTTTCGGGGGCCTCTCGGGGGCTGGCCTGTGAAAGATTCCATTCGACGGATTTGGAGAAGGACTTTGCAGTAAGCTGGAAGTATTATAAAATACGTATATTTATAGCATAAAATCGATACTTGGCTTGATGTGCTGAAACTTACTCTATATTAACGTACGACTGCGAATCCGAATTCGCATTTGTGATATCTACGGTCTTGTAGCACACGTGAACACCATTTATAGTACTGAAAGAAAAAATATAAGATATAATGTACATCACGATAAAAATATTGCATTAACTTTTTATATTCCATGTATATTTCCAACAGACAAGTTCCGTGTTCATCTATATATATATATATATAATAAATTACAGCAATTTGTTATTGCGTTTACTTTCTATTGAGTTGTTACAAAAATACAGATGAAAAATTTATGAAGCCAATTTAAAGTTGATCTAATTAAAAGTTTAAAGAGTTGACATACCCAGCAGCGGAAAATCCAACAGGAGCCAGTTTCGAATAAACCTTGTGGTTTGGAGTTGTCCTGCTGCATATTATTATATCTGTGACCGCTTTCGTACACAGGTCCTTATTCCTAATTTTGTAGCACACCTGTTTTTTTCGCCACGCTTTCTGCCCTGCAACATTTATCGCGATTCATTTGTAAAAATTTGCATATTTTTTTTATCCGCAGACGGCAGGCATTGCTGTCAAACAGAAAGGCTTACTCGAATCCACGGTGTAGGAGATCATGCTGTATCCTTCCGGCGGAGTGTCTCGCTCGTTAATCACCATGATATCTTCGACCACGCAGTTCGGCTGGCCCTCAGTCTTCGAGAAGCAGATATATCTACCCTTCTTCTTGATGAACAGTCCACTCTCCCTCCATAGATCAGCGTCGGTGTCCTGATCGTAAGTTCTCGATACCTTAACGAGATATATACCAATCATCTCTGACCACCGCGACGAGCGATAATAAATAAAGTGAATTAATGCGCATACCACTGTGAAGTTGGGTGGACACTTGTCTAAGTCTTCCACAACACTAATGGCAGTTATTGGCCTGTCATCTGGCAGTACGGCCGACACTTGGACTAACATCTTACAGGTGGTCGTCTTGAACATCGCTGCGATCCCGGATACCTAATTAATTAATTCCCCAATTAGATGAATCTTTCCTAATGTGTCCAAGAATCGAATGAATATATTTGTAAGTATTAAATATGGAAAGAAGAATTTTGTTAAAGTATCTAAAAATTTAACTAGACACAAATTTAAAAAGAATTTTATAGGACCATAAAAATAATTAGATAAGGAAGCTCAAATTGATTGCTAGAATGTCTAAATTCTTTGTATTATCGTCATACTTGAACTGTTACATAATTATTTTGATGGTCCAAAAAAATTATTTTCAGATTTATATTTAGCTAAACTTTTAGATATTTCAGCAAAACCATTCTTTCCGTGTAAGTTTAGACATGTCCAACAAATTTTTAGATTTATACCAAATTAAATTTCCAGATACTCCAATAAAACCGTTCTTTCGTACATGCACTAAATATACTATAATTATTATAAAGTAAGCAAATGTTAAGTACGTAACACTATGAATACGTTTGCTTACTAAACATTGCACTTTGTCTCGCTGCAAATATATCGTGAATAAGCTGCTTATAAGAAATAAGAGGATTACATCAATCATCGTCATTAAAATGATCATTGTCCGGCGGTCATCAAATGTTTATCAATGCGAGATTAGATACAACTGAAGCTTATCATTGCGATCGTAGAGATAACGAGGTGATCGAAAGTCGGAAACCCGCGGCGGCGATTGCATCGTAACTCCAATGGATCATAAAAACGCTGATCGTTCCAAAAATATCACCAACATGACCGACATTCTCCGCTCCACGAGTTTTCCGAGGCGCGAAGCGATCGACTATGAAACTCTCGTTTAATCCGATGCGACGTAGCGACTCGATCGAATCCCTCGGTGCGATGCACTCAAGATCCTCGACTCGATGCATGTATTCTATTCGGTGGGATAACGAACTTTGAGAACAAATTATCGATTAATATTTTTATTTTAAGAGATTTTTTATTGAAAAAATAAAGGGAAGCCAGTAAGCCAGATTAGCCAGTCTATTTAGCCAGATTATACACATACATTCAGTGATCATCTAAAACATGTCTAAACTTACACGGAAAGAATGGTTTTGCTGAAATATCTAAAAGTTTAGTTAAATATAAATCTGAAAATAATTTATTTGGACTATCAAGATAATTATAGTAAACTCAAGCATGATGAATAGTGTTGTAAAAGTTTTGACATTCTAGCAATTAGTTTAAACGTCCCATATAATTTTAATAATCCATTAAAATTAACGATTTTGCTCAAGTATCTAAAAATTTAGATAAATACAGATCTGAAAATAATTATGTTGGATTATCAAAATAATTATGTAGGACGTTCAAACTGATTGCTAAAATATATAAAATTTTGCGATATCGATCACTACGCTTGAGTGTCCTACATAATTCTTTTGATGGTCCAACAAAATTATTTTCAGCTCCATATCTATCTAAATTTCTAAATACCGCAGTAAAATAATTCCTTTTACATATGAAATGCGCACGAGAGTGATATGTAAAGACACTGCTCTTATTTTGAAGGAGATTCACGATGATTCGTCAACGGAGCCATTTCTCTAGCGGTCTCCATATTATCGCATTAATTACTACGATAATAACTATAGCATTATACATTAGCGAGAAACGTTCGGTTGCGTCAAAGGAATTCATTCATCCTGACTCGAAACCCAGTTAATTAGCGGATCGGAGCAGCTCATTTCGGAGTAGCTCATTCCGGAGCAATGAGAGATGCGAGTACGGACTGCCGACTGACAGCGGGCGGGGTTGAACAACCGTGGAGGAAGGCGAAACAGAGGAAAGAAGGAACGTAAAGTGGGACAGCGGCGTGCGTTCGTGGAGGAATGTACCGCTGCATTAGTAATCGCGAACGTCAACGAATGGTCTTTAAGACGCGTGACTAAGTCTCACGCTCTCCTAGGAGACCGTTCTCTCTCGCACCGTCGAGAAGCGTTTCATCATAGGAAAAAACCAAACTCGGAGGCTGTCATGCGATTTTCCAGCCGTGTCGCTCGGCGCTCAGCTGGCTCGACTTGTACCCCGCTGGTGTCAACTTACTTCTGTGAGCCGTGAACTTTAATAAAGACGGTGGTTTTTCAAAAGACGCGCAGAAATCATCGGGAAACACGCGCGTATAATAAAAACTTGCCCCGTCAGTAACGTGAAGGTCAGTTGTGCTTTCGTAACGAAAAGGAGGAAAAAAGAAGAGGGCAAAAAGACAGGCAGAACGATGACAATCAGAAAAAATTCGCATAGCTCATTTCTCAACCGCCATAATACCCGTAAATTATTCGTAGGCACGAGGCCGTTATTCACACTCAAAAAATTCCATCAAAAAATTCCATCGTCGACGAGACCGCCGCTGCGTTCAGCGCTAAATTCGGTAGATGGATATATGTATATATCTGTTTAACGCAGTCTCCGCGCGATTTCCATTGTTAAAGAGACGGAGCTTAAGATCGGAGTGTGTCAACATCTCAGTGCGATAGCGATAGGAGATACCGGTTGATACCATGCTATGTGGCAACAGATAAATAATAGACATTGGAGCACGAAGAGATCCCGTGAGGAACCGGCGTCGACGTTCAAGGACGTGCTCGAGGAAGGGAGGTCGATAGGAAGACGAATGGATAGATGGACGGACGGACGTAACGTGCGTGGAGATGCCTCTCTTCCCTCCTTTTGCGAATTATATTGGACGTGTCATCGGCCGCGGGAGGCGACATCGCCTCCTCTCGACTACTCTCGAGGCGCTCGATAGGGGCTGACCTTTTCGCGACGCCGCGCTGCGACGTTTATCCGTTTCCTCTCCGCCTTCTCTTCTTCGTCCTTCTTCTTGTTCGTCTCCCTCACACGATTGTACACTTTGCGCTGACACAGCAACGACGACGACACAACGCGACAGCGCGGCTTCTGTCACCGGCGCTCATATTTCAGACGATTTCGGAGCAAAGGACGGGACGAGTGACGTCAATCGACGACGACAGACTGTACTCACCGTCGTCCGACGACGCGTCTTGCGAAACTGCCCGAAAACACTCCGAACATTGACGAGGCCACCGAACCGAACTCCGGAACCGCACTCGGTGCGCGTCATCTCGATGCGCATGCGTCCCACGTTCGCGACATCGTCATGAAGCAAGAAAGTAATCGATGGGAATGCAAGATGTATTTTCAGGAAAGGTCGCTCGGCTCGGACGCAATGGAAAGAACACGATAGTCAATCTGATTGGTCGTTACTCGTTATTATTCCCTTGAATATTATTACATAACGGTATTTACAGAAACGATAATCAGAATAATTTCAAATTTAAATTGACTCAATCGGCGATCATACTTGATCATAATTTGTTGCGAATTTCCATATCAACGTCGATCTTTATTTTTTACATTACAATTAATGGTTTTTGAAGGACTAAACTTGAAAGTTTATAATATAAATAGAACGAGTTACTCGAGCTATATGAATAATATTTTAATAAAGAAAAAAGTGCCTTTACAGGATAATCTAATATAATATTAGCCAATTTATTACTGAAAGACAATAATTAATTACTTGTTTGGAGTAGTAAGAGTATATTGAAGGTGCTTTTAATAAGTAATTAATTATTGTCTTTTAAGTATTGGCTAGTATTAGCTAGATTTCTTTAAGAGGGAACAGAAACAAAATTTTTCAAAGGCCCTCTTATCTTCCTCGCCATCTTTCTAAGAAAATATTAAATACAATATTTTCTTGGAAAATTTTCTTCAACGATTTTCTACTCTTATTTTTATCATTTCCTTTTTATGAGAGGTCCAATGACATTTTTTATTATTATACATTATTTATCGTGTTATTTTTTATTTTCAACGTTTATCAGTAAATATCATTTATATTACGTAAAACAAGAATTGCGCACCTATGATAAAGTATCACATTATGCATATATACCCAGTGAGAAATGACGTCGATTCGACATCGATTCGATGTCGATTCCATTATCATTTCTCACTGGGTATATGGTATGATATATGCATATCGATATTCATATTAATTTGTCATCTCAAGACAGTCTAAAATATAATGGGCAGCGCAGATCTTTGCAAAGCATAAAAAAATCAACCAATCAGAGTCTTTCGTTTGAAAAGGGAGGACTCTGAAAATCTTTAGGCTCCATCCTAAGAATCAACTACGAATACCAGCCTGTATATATACTATTTAAGGCCTGAGCTATCGCTTGCTTTACTGCGCATGTACCAAATCAGTCGTATCAGAATTAGTGTTCCAGCTCCGGCAGGCGGCAGGCATTGCACAATTGACGTTTATACCAACTTATATCCAGCTGTTAACCTGCCATCGTGAATTTATTTTTGAGTTTTCTGCCTGATCCAAGTAGTTATCTCAGTCACGGTCATCACTACGGAAGAGATACATCAGACATGACGGACTCCAACAAGTCTATTCCTTTTTATTATTCCACGAGTGGCAACAAAGAGGAAGATGAGGTTAGTCTTTACTATATTACGTACGTTTTTAAAGTTTTCATTGGCAACACTAGTGCGCACTTAGGGCATATTAAGGGCCTCTTTTTACCAACTCCGATTAACTTAATCAGCCGATTAGTCCATTAAAATTGACCAATCGCATCTATCGTCAAACAAAATGACAAATGAGATTGGTCAATTCTGATGGACTAATCGACCAAAGCTGTGTTACATCATTCTAATATAAATGTAAAAGTGAGTGAGATATCTCAATTGATAAAATGCCCAATGTATTTTATCAAATAGCATAGTAAAATGTATAGAATATTTCGTGATTCAATTCGTTTCTATATTTTTAGTTCTGCTAATAAAAAACGCTATTAATTTCGTAATTCTATCATGCGCGCGCTTAGGCGCCCGCCATTTATCGGTATAAACGTCTTTTTATTCCGAAAAAGAAATAATATATTATTAATATATAAATATGTTATTTTATATTTTACTGGTATAATTGATATATAACTATGTTATTTTATATTTTACTGGTATAATATAATTAATTACACAAAATTTTCTGTAAATTGAACGCAAATTTATACAATTCCTTTTTTCCTCGTTTTATCTCCATGCTCGATTGTTCTCACCTTGACGATTTTGACCTAAATTTCAATTGTCCTTGCTCCGAAATTGACGATAACGTTGGTATTTATAACCCAATGTCATGTGTCAAGATCATTTTAAATGATTGAAAGACACTTGTAATTCATTGTTTAGATCGTTTACATCGAGATTACGTATACGCGACCTATAATGCGACCCAAAATAGATCTAGCCACCAACCATTTACACAGTAAGCGGCCTGAACACGAACTCTTTGAATTTTTCGAACACGATTTCTGGGTTGAATACCATCCATAAATGCAGGCGCATCCAAAAAGAAAATGTGGAGTTAAATTCTCCCCGAATTTTTTTCATTTTTAATTATTATATATAATTATTAATTATATATATATATATATATCATAAAAATAAAAAATTATTTTCTTTTTAATTCTACTCTTTGTATTTTTTTTACTTTTACTGCTTTACTTTTGACTTTTGACATTATAAGTAAAAAAAAAAAAATAGTTCTTTCATTTTGTAAATTTTATTGAATAGTCTTTTTTACTTTTATTTATGTCTCTTTCCTTTTATTTAACTTTAATATAACATTTTTAATAATATTTAGAAGTAATTACAAAGAAGACTTCTCTATATATTTAAAAAAAATTTCTTTTTCTAGGAAAATGTTGATCATGAAATGTTTAGTAATTTAAATTTCAACATTCGAAATCCTGAATTTTGGGCAATTCTAGGCAATTACGAAAATTTTTGGAATTAGGTCAATTCTAAGCAGAATCGTAAGACTCGTAACGTGTCCTCGTAATACTTATAAGAACTTATGATTAGTTTTCTAATTTTATGCGTATGTATGATTATTATTCATAAATCGTAAGAAACTGTTTATAAAAATATTATATAAAGATATAAGCACTTAAAAATTCTCACATGTCTTATTACAGGAATATGTTACGAGCCTTATAACGATTCTGCTTAGAATTCAGGGTATCTAGTATAATAGAATTCTAATCTATTAGATAGTTATACAATCTCTTTATTTTTGTTATGTTTTTGCTATTTTTTAATTGAATTAGATAACATTTAGAAATGAAATTTCTTGCAGAAATTATTGGAACCAATTAGGTACATTCTTCAAGTTCCCGGAAAACAAATAAGAGCCAAATTAGCAAAAGCTTTTAATTACTGGCTAAAGATATCAGATGATAAAGTCCAAGAAATTGATGATATAATAAATATGCTTCACAATTCGAGCATCCTGTAAGTTTCCGTTAATTATCAACATAATATTTTGTTTTGCGCTTTTTTTTACATGTCTTTCTCATTAACTATAAAATTATATCTTTAAATAATATTGTCATTTCTATTAATTGCATATCCGTTAAAAACTGGGTAATTAATTAAAGTGCAGATATAGATATTTTGCAAAGTATCTGCAATTATATTAACTTAAAATTTAATGTTTTTTTATAAGAATTATAATTTTTTCTGCGTAATTTGCAAAATTGGATATATATACATATATAATATACATATATAAAATCACACTAGAATACTTAAGCACTAAGATCCACTTTGATCGAAAATAGAATTATTTCTCTTAATTAATTGTTTTATTCTTGTCGGTCTAATTCCGAATTATAATTGTTTATACATGTTTTCTTAAAAAACGATCTTTCTTGCACTAGTTTTTGGTTATTGCGAGAAATATTACTGAAGTCTTCATCGAATCAAAAGGACGCCCTTATGGAATTCGTGACATCCGAGTTTAAATCCTGGCTGAGGTAATATTTTTCGCAATAAATAACTTACAGCTTTTAAGAAACTTACATTAGCATCAAATTGTTAATATCTTTCTAAGATTCTTGTTATCATCAATATTACTGAATTGCTCGTCAATTTAATGGGTAATATTAATACTTCAGTTTTGTTTATATTTACGTTTCAAGGTTGAAAAAGATTTTTAGCGCATGGTTTGCAGAATTGAATATAAATTCACACTGAAATATTTAAGCACTATAATTCACTTTGTCCAAAAATAGGATTATATTTCTCTCAATTAATCAATTTATTAATCATTCTCATCAGTTTAATTTTGAATTATTATGTATAGCTTTTACTTTTATTCGTAGCATTGATGATATTCAAGATAATTCCATTATGCGAAGAGGCATTCCTGTTGCACATTCAGTTTATGGAATTGCTAGCTCATTAAGTGCTGCAAATTATGTATTATTCATTGCTTTGGAAAGAGTTATTAATTTAAAACATCCAGCGGTAAGAGTGACTACATTAAAAAAACGTTGTGAACTCTGTTGGTCTTCATATTTTATAATGATATTTTGATCAGGGTTGGTAAAATACATGTTTTAAACGTGTTTTAAACAGTTCAAAACATGCTTAATTGATGTTTTTAATATGTTTTTTTTATAGTACTATTTAAAGCATATTCGAAGCATTAAGGGGGTCGCCTCATGTAAACCGCTAAAAAGAAGGTCATTTCTAGGAATTTTTTTTTTAAGGTATGCAATGGATCGTTTTAAAAATTTTTGGTATTTTACTACATATATTAAAGAGTACAACAAAAATTTTTTTATTTCAATATAGTTTATTTTGTAACTTTTCTAAATAAATGTTAACGCAACCTCGTCGTCGGAATCGTAAATCGGCACGGGAAATCTAACGCCTTTTGTATTTGTCTAAAACAAAAAACAAAATGGTTTCTTATTTTGTATGACAGTACCTTGTCGATGAATCTAAAAAATAAGTTAAAAGTTGAAAATTAACAAAATGACGGCACTTTAAAGACATAACCCTTACGGAAAAAAACTATTAATAAATAGTAAAATGGCCAATAGTAATTTGGCTAATAGTTAGTACTG